GGTACTGTGATTATGCCAACTATTAGTGCAGCTGTCACCCAAAATGCTGAAAACAAGCAGGGGGTAAATGCTTCATTTAGGTGAGCAAACATACCAGGGCTTCTAAATGAATGACAATAGAAAGATCTTACTTGGCTAACTAACTGCTGTGGTGCCACACATCCAGTTTGGCAGGAGCATGGTGCTGTGAGAGAGGAACACATTTCTTGGTTTCGAGTTGGGTTGTTGTGCTGATATCTGACATAAACATTTTAATTTCTCCCCCAGCTTGCAGAGTTAGGGCATGTGTGTATGTGTGTAGACTTCTGTACCAACACCCACGCTATCATCTATTTACCAACACAGGCCTACGAGCATCTGGGGCCAGATCATTAGCTGGTGGGAGTTAGCATGCACTCACTGAAGACACGGTGACGTCCCAGTTGAGACTTCTGCCCTTATATTCCAGAATTTGTAGGCTCCTCTTTTGAGCTCTCCAACCCAGGCACACTGTCTGTATCCATGTCTGCATAACAAAAACGTCTTCCTTTTAAAGCAAAACAAATAAAAACTAAGGTGAACAAAATGACATGACTCATTAGCTAAAATCCCCCAAGAAAACACATTCTTTACCTAAATCAGTTGTGGCAGCTATTAATAATCCTGCCAGCTGTTACAGGAGGCCTCTTCAAGTGTACTGAGATCTCAACTTAAAGGTCTCCTGACAATGCATCCACTGCAGCATTTTAAAAATGAGCCACATACTCAGTTAAGCCTTCTTAATCTTTATTTGTAATGACTAAAGTGATTTATCTAGGCTTCAACAGTTCATTAGCTTTAATGGTGAATACTGGGAATTTGAATATTACCATAGCCAGGTGTCAGCAGTGTCTAGGGGAAAGGAAATACTTTCCTGAATGCTAGTCACAGGACAGCAAGGAAACAGGTGAGGCTCACGTCACATTCTGTAAACAGTTGTTTAAACATTTTTGTAATGTTCCACCATCCCTTGAATAACTCCAAATATACAGCCTTGGAAGGACCAGCTAACCTTGTTTATTGCAAAAGGTCTGAGGAAGCACAAGCAGTGGCTACCCAAAGTGAGAATGATTACAAGCTTAAAATCACATTCAGTCTTCACTCAACTCTGGCTGTGGCAAAATTCAAAGTAAATGGGTATTTGAGCAAACAAGCTGCAGGTTTCAACTGTCAGCCTGGTGGCAGGGTCTCTGCAGGGTGCCACATGTACAGACATGTGGGAAAGCAGATACAGCTGAAACTCATGGTCATCTTTCACATGTATTTCTCCACCAAGTTAAAGCATATACAGAGTATCTCAATCCGTAATAAACTCCAAATATTGCAAATTCACCAGACGAGCTATCTTTCTTTAAATACCTCCAGAATCTGACACAAACGACATGTAGGGGATAAAGCTATTTTAAAGAACTTGTGATTTTCTTCCTGACGTGTACTATCAGCAATTTCCAAATTGTGTCTTTGCAGTATAAAGACAGATGTCTAAAATGAAGCATTTATATGTAAAATGAAAGATGGAACTACTGTCTCAAAAAAATCATTCTTTTCAAGAACATCCCAAACACACTCTCCTTCTTGTGAAGTGCTATAAACAAGCACTTGTGGTCTTGTCCACCCAACTATCTTGTGCTCAACCAGAACAAACACAAGAAGCCCATCTCTAGTGCTTCCTAGTTACCATTTCCACATCACACTGACGTCCTTAGTAGAAAGCTTAACAACTGCTCATGGTCAAATAACCCACCCACCCAGAAGCTCTGCTCTCCCACAGCAATCACAACCAAAAAGCCCCAACCTCTTGGTTGACACAGATCAGAAAATACCTCAAAAAAACCCTTCAAACAGAAAACATACCTCAGAAACACCTCAGTGGTGTTTTCCCTGATACTGCCTTTGTGGAGAATCAGTGCACCTACATCACACTGGGTGATTCTCTACAAGTAGTCGTATCCGGACCTGCCTTCCAGCAAAAGTTCGAGAATACCAGGACTTTGCACAATGCCACACATGGAGAATTGCTCTTTATAAAGCATATGTCAATGTTCCAAAAAGCCAAAGTGGCCCAGCACCGTCTCACTTACTTATGTATTGTGCATTGCATCACTTTTTTTTAACCTATTGGTTTTTTTGTTATGCTGCCCGGAGGAATACTGGACTTGCCAGGCTGGAAGAGGGTGATGGCCTATGGCGCTTGCCGCGGTGGTGGCTTCAGGCAAGGTTTGATGGAGTTTTCTAGCCTTTCCACAGTAGGCTGGCATTTACGCTAAAGAATAGCTACTTGTGTACTTTACAAAATTCCTGTTTAATATTTACCATTCAGACTCATCACATGCTTGCTGTTCCTCTTGCAGCTTAACCTCTTCTGGGTCATGAATCCTGACCTCAAGGAGAGCTGGTGAAGGGCAAGCTGGACAGCAGATTGCTTCTCTCCATTAAGTCTTAAACTGCCCACTCTGCCTGGGTTTTATGTTGGTTTCTCGGTATCGTTAGTTCAAGACTTCTTTCTGCCTGCCTAGATAGGTCTGTGGCCTCCACCCTTGTAGAATCTAACTGCAAAACAGTTCCTCTCACCACATCTTTTGTGGTAATCACAGAATTGCAGAGCAGTTGGTGTTGGAAGGGACCTCACGATGTCATCTTGTCCACCCCCCCTGAGTAACATGCTCTGACAAGCTCTGGGTGGTCCTGCTTAGGCAGGGGAGTTGGACTAGATGATCTCTATGGTCCCTTCCAACTCTAAAAAATTCAGTGAAATTCAGTGAAATTCATGCAGGGCCACATAAGAGCCCCTTGCCCAGGATGATGTCTAGACAGGTTTTAAGTATCTCTAGAGAGGGAATGAGAACAACTATTATTACTCCCATTGTTCAGATAAAGAATCAAACAAAAAGCTTAGGGTTTGACAAGGAAGTTAAGGGACCACAACTATAATCTTGTTTCATACTAAGCCTTAACTCAACATCACTGGGCACTTTAGAGGATATTCCTGCCCGGTGGTAATACAGGCTGAAAAAACAAACCCAATGAGATGGTGGTTAACTCAAGTTTAAGTATCACAGTTTTATTTAATTAGCACTGTTTTCTTTTTTTTTTTTTCCAGTGGGTAGAAAGTAGCTAAATGATGAAAACTGATGATTTAAAAGAAAAATTGGGCAGAGGAAACAAAAAGAAGAAAGTGAAGGACTGCAAAGGGAAAAGGTTGAAAAAGGTGCTACAAAATCTAGCCTGAACGCCTGTGCAGACTTTTTAGTCTCAGAAGGCCCAACAGTTGAGGTTTGGCCAAAGCATGCTGTCTGCAGCAGCAACCAGGATTGACCTAAGACCTCTAAGACAAGGCCAGTCCACCATCACTATTGGTGACAAAGGGATGGAACACGAAGGGAGAGCTGAGGGAGGGCCTGTAAGGCATTTACAGCAGAAGCGCTGGGAACGGTGGATGAAGAGTTAGGTCTTGGTGGGACAAGGAGCTCTGCTGGCCCATGAACTGGCTGAGGCTACTGCTACACCGGCTCCCTTGGTGGGCTGCGTTGGCTCCTCCTGGCATTTCATGGAATCACAGAATGATATGAGGTTGGAAGGGACCTCTGGAGATCATGTAGTCCAACCCCCAGCCAAAGCAGGTCCACCCAGAGCATGTTGCAGAGGCACATGTCCAGGTGGGTTCTGAATATCTCCAGAGATGGAGACTCCACCACTTCTCTGGGCAGCCTGTTCCAGTGCTCTGCCACCCTCAAAGTGAAGAAGTTCCTCCTCATGTTGAGATGGAACTTCCTCTGTTCAAGTTTGTGCCCATTTCCTCTTGTCCTGTCACTGGGCACCACTGAAAAAAGACTGGCCCCATCCTCTTGACACCCACCATTTAAGTATAAATACTTAAAAAAGTATTTATAGGCTTTGATCAGATCTCCCCTCAACCTTCTCTTCTCCAGATTAAAAAACCCCAAGTCCCTCATTTCTTTCTCAGGATCACTCCTGAGACTACGCTTAGTCTTTCTTAGGACGACGCTGGTCCTGAATGCTCAAAAAACTCATCCAGATGTCTTTTTAAACTAGTCTCTATGAATCTGGCTTTCTTTCGTGGCTGTTCAGCCTCTGGTCATGTTGTCCTCCTGTGATGGATTGCCAACTCCTCCTGAGCTGCGGGGTACCTACCGCGCGGAGGGAATACCCCAATTCTCTGCCTTTCCTGGAGCTCCTGAGCCCACGGGAAGGCCGGGCAGCCCACAGGACGACCGGGCCCCTCAACCTTCTCTTCTCCAGATTAAAAAACCCCAAGTCCCTCATTTCTTTCTCAGGATCACTCCTGAGACTACGCTTAGTCTTTCTTAGGACGACGCTGGTCCTGAATGCTCAAAAAACTCATCCAGATGTCTTTTTAAACTAGTCTCTATGAATCTGGCTTTCTTTCGTGGCTGTTCAGCCTCTGGTCATGTTGTCCTCCTGTGATGGATTGCCAACTCCTCCTGAGCTGCGGGGTACCTACCGCGCGGAGGGAATACCCCAATTCTCTGCCTTTCCTGGAGCTCCTGAGCCCACGGGAAGGCCGGGCAGCCCACAGGACGACCGGGCAGCCCACGGGAAGGCCGGGCAGTGCACGAAAAGGCTGGACAGCCCACAGCAAGCCGGACAGCACAGAGCAAGGCCGGACAGCCCACGGGAAGGCCGGGCAGTGCACGAAAAGGCTGGACAGCCCACAGCAAGCCGGACAGCACAGAGCAAGGCCGGACAGCCCACGGGAAGGCCGGGCAGCCCACAGGACGACCGGGCAGCCCACGGGAAGGCCGGGCAGTGCACGAAAAGGCTGGACAGCCCACGGGAAGGCCGGACAGCGCAGAGCAAGGCCGGGCAGCCCACGGGAAGGCCGGACAGCGCAGAGCAAGGCCGGGCAGTACACGGGAAGGCCGGGCAGCCCACGGGAAGGCGGGGCGGCCGACGGGCGGCCCCTGCGGGAGCAGCGGGCAGCGGAAGAAAAGGAGGAAACGCCGCAGTTCCAAGGTAAAGGCGAGGCGTGGATCCCGTCCCCGGAGGCGACGGGCCGAGCAGGCCGCGCTCCGCCCTCGGCCGCCCCCGCGCGGTGGCGCCGCCGGCGCTGGCCGGACGGGACCAGAGGAGACAAGATGGCGGCGGGCGCGGCGGACAGGTAAAGGCCGCCCGTGAGGAGCCGCGCCGCGCTGGCTCTGGGTCCGCGCAGTTCACCGGGCTCCGAAGCCGGGGCTGAGATGGGCGACTGGCTCGGGGCGGTGACGGGGAGGAGGAAGGGGCCGGCGGTGCTGCCGGGCCCAGCCCGCCGCCCGGCCTCCCCGGCAGAGGGCCGCCCCTGCGGCCTAGGCCGTAACCCTGTGTTTTCCACCTGCCCTAGCCGAGGAGCCGCGGGAGAGCAGCGTGTGCCCCCGTGGCCGTGCTGAAGTGACCTGAGATACCCGAGAGCAAAGGGATGAGAGCCGATGGTGTCCCGCCACGCCGCGGGGCCGCACCGAGACCAATGGCAGCTGGGCCACAGCAACACCTACCCAGGTACCAGCGTCTGCAGGAGGGTCTCGCCGGGTTAAAGCAAGACACAAATCAAAAACCTTTGTGAGGCAGCAGCTGGATGAGAGAAGAGCCCCACATTCTGTGACCGCGAAGATATGCAGGAGTTATAAAAAGTGCAAATAGAACAAAATCTGTATGCGCGCACATTTAAATACATCTTGTTTGTAACGGGATGCTCTTTTTGACATCTCTTCCTGCTGCTATAGATTTGTTAAGTACTGGCTGAAAGCCAGGTACACGTCGTACAAACAACTGCAGCAGCAAAAGGTCTGTTTTTGCTAAAACACACTCGGGTTTCCTCTGTAGTACACTTTGTAAAAGTATTTCATATCCATACAGTAGTTCTGAGCCCCTGTTGGGTTAAGTTAGGTGTTCAGTTAGTGGCTTTCACAGCTAATCAACGCGCTCCCAGTTTTTACTTGTGAGCAGGGTGGTTAAGCACTGAAGGCATGTATGTACCTGTTCTTAGTTTATTTAAAATTTCAGAAATATGTTTGGTAAGTTGGTGCTTTGCAAAACTCACTGTTAGGACTGATGAAAATACTTTGTCTATATAAAATATTATTCCTAACAGCTGTAAGATTATATATATTCACTAGCAATACTTCTGTATATACACAGAGTAAACCGCTGAAATTTTTTATTTGGATGTATAGATAAGCAACTTTGTCTAAGTGATCAGTATTAAGTATTCTAAGTTGGAAAAGACAACAGGATGGTTGGGAGGACTGAGAAGGTAAGACAGTTAAACTTAATGCTGTATCTTACTGGTTATAGCCTCCAAAATTATAATAGTGCAATGGCAATGCATGTTCCCCTCCTGACATGAGGGAAAGCAGTACTGCATTTGCACATAATGCTTGCACACCATTGGTAGCTTTCATCTAACCTGTTTGTACTTAAAACTTTCGAAGAGGTCACTAAGATATGGGATGAAAAGGGCCATTTAGCTCAAGACAAGTTTTCCTACTCAATAAAGGCCCACAACTGCTTGATGAGGATTAGTCAGACCTTATTTTCAGTTGCTTTGTTAACAGTGCGGTATTAAAGGCACCACCTCTCCCACTTTCCTAGGCAGCATCAAGAGATAATGGGATTTGTCACACCAAGGCTAAACTGAGATTAAACTTCAACCCTTTATATGGAACTATTTGTTGAAAGAGGAAGCTGCAGCACTGAAAGCAGTCAGTGCTCGACTGCATGAGACCATGCCTTTGGCAGAAGGTGAATGATGTCTTACTTCAAAAACTTTATGAAATGCAAATACAGTTAAATCCTTTCCAGTTTCTTCTTTGCAAGGCAACAATAAACCAGTGATGGACTTGTCTTAGAGCTGTTACCTGAATAACTAGGGAGAGAGAAAGCTAAGGTTCCTACTAAGGTAAGCGCAAGAGGCCTTGCTCTCCATATTGAGATTTACAGTTTGATTTACTATGAAAACCACAGAGGTTAATTTTTGGGGAGTGGGGGAGAAGGCAAAACCTTTGTTTTAGCATACAGATTTGTTTCTTTTCCTCCTACTAGCTGAAGTGCCTTTTTAGATACCTTGCAAACTAAACTTAACATGTAGCTGTTTCATACAGAACAATCGTTTTTTCACAGCTAGAAAGAGGTATCATGAGAAAAAGTGAAGCTGTCAATATAAAGGAATGTAACAGTAATCCAATAATTTGTAACTATCACTAAAACAGTAAAAAAAATAACTGGTTACAAACACAATCAGCGAACTTCTTAATTAAATTAGCAGTACCGCTGCAGGCATTCAGAGTGCTCCTAACTATCTCAACTTTATACTGCTGAAGTAAGGCACGCTTTGGGTTGTAAAACTTGTGTGCTTTAATAATTTAATAACAAATTGAATAATTTGCTTTACATTGTATGTGTCTAAAGATGCATTAAGATAAATTGCTAGCAACTTGTCCTGGTTTTACTCAACAGTTGCCTGGATGATCCAGTAAGAGGGTGAGACTACCGAGTTTCCCTTACTTGGACAACTATTTAACTTGACTAAAATGGGATTAAGTTTTTCTTATTTTAGAAGAGCACTCCTATCCAGCATATGCATAAGGTAGTATCAAGAAGCACACTACTTAAATTGACAATGATTTATTGTGTTTAGTAACATTCAATAAATACCAAGCTTATAGCTTCAGTTTGGCACTCCTTCCCCACCAAAAAATCCTTTGGTTTTTTTTTCCTGGCATAATCTCCATTGCCAGCAATGGATGTATCAGAACAAGAAGTTAATAAATAATACACACAGACAGCAGTTTTCTAAACATACCTCCTCTTTTAAAGGCAAGATACTGATTTACTAAACAAATCGCAGGCAAGTTCTTCACAGAAGAAAAGTTTGCTACAAGCTGTCTTTGAACATTGTTGTCTTCACCAATGCTGGTAGTTTACTTCATGGAGTACAGTATTTATTTTTGAACAGTACTGATGCATCACTTAAAAGCAAGTTTTTCCCCCACCCCCTTTAAGGTAAGCTGAGACATGTAACTAGTACTGAAGTGTAGGAATTTAATAGTGGTATAATGCTTGCTGAGCATTTAATGGCAATTGTGAATAAAGATACAAGAGAGGTAAAGGCAATATGATAATGTTAGTAAGTGTCTGGGGGATTATGTTTTTGTTTGTTTCAGCTTGCTTTTAAACCACTGTTCAAATGTTAAAGATACCATATTTAAATTTAACAGATGTTTTTGTTTGTTCTTAACAGTTTGACTTTCCATGAAGAGTGCTGTTAAAGACGCACCTGAAACTTTCTGCTGCTGAGGAGAATCACTTTCAAGTACTTAAATTTGAATATCCCTCTAAATTCCATTTATTTCATATTAAAAATGTGTTTTTATAAAACCACAAGGACTACAGAAAAACAGTTAACATAATAGTCTTGTATAATTTTTTCCACCACTGTATTTTACATATCACCATATCGCTTCTGCCTGAGCAAAAGAAAAAGGAATAAAAATAAATTCTCTCCCAACTATTTACACATGGGAATTACCCTGCTGTGTTACTGGATACCTCACTCTACAGTCCCTCTAACCCAAGGCGTAATCTTAGGTGTATCCTTTTGTGATTTAGGTTCTTGGAAGTTTTCAGCAAACCTTTCTCGTGCTTTATCCCAGTTCTTTTTATTCTTGCTCTGGATGATCTGAACATCTTCGATTGAGGCTGGTCTGCTGGTACCCAAACCTGCATGTGTCTTATGTAACTGAAGGTGGATCTGTTAAATGCAGTTACAACAATATTTAATGTAAGTTAGGTATTCTAAACACTTTAATCATACTTTACAATATTAATTCCCCTCTCCCCTTCCCACGCACTTCTCTTTAAGGCTCTAACATACTTAGATCATATGTGAACATCTAAAGTACCATTATAATGGTGCATCAGATCACCACTGGTAGAACTATGATCTAGAGTGCTGAATGATGTCACCTGCCACTAATGCTACTGTGAAGTACTTCTCACCGACTGAATAACGTATGATCCCCGTGCTGGGTAGCCTGACATCAAAAAGTACAGTGTGGCTCTGAGCAGCACTAGCGCCAAAAGACAACACATCTCTGGTGACAAAAATGGGGCTAACAAAGCTGCCGCACAAGTCCAGAACTGGGTGGCTACAGTGGCTTCAGGCAGCTTTTCCTCTCTCGTGTCCTGTCATCTAGTTTGGTTTTTTGCTACACCAGCCTCAGAGAAAGTGAAGGATTCCACTATAAGCCCATCTTGAACTCGCACAAATTAATATTATTTCAGTCTTCCTCTAGACTTTGTATTCAAATCTGAGGTTATCAATTCAACACCTAGAAGCTCTCTGTCTGCCCTTGCTTAGTCTCCTAACAAAGACAGGAGATAACTGGCATTTTCCACTGAAGGGGAAAATCACTGAAAAAAATACTTCAAGCAAAAAATGATTTGAGATTGGTCCTAATGAGATTATGCCTTCCTAACCACGATTTTGAAATGTTTCAAGTGAACAGCGGCTTACAGTTCATTTTTCACTGCAGATACATTTCTATTCCTTTCTGCTCCAAGTAAAAACCAGAGACCTACCGGATTCTTCATACCACCACCATCTTTGCCCAGGCCTTCCCCTTTCTTCCATCCCATCTTCTCCAACATTTTATGGCCTTTGTTGCTGTCGCTGATTTCACTTTGAAGAAAGTTTAAGATAACTGATAAGCAAGAGGTAATACCAAGAGTGTGCTCTCAGATAAATACTGAAGGGCTGAAATGTGCATGCATATGCTGCTCTAGAAACCAGAACTACTATGCTGTTTCTACTTCCATCAAGACCTATCCAGAAGACCCTAGTGCTACCTTTTGCAAGTTCTTCCATGAATATCTTCAGTTCCCAAAGCTATTCCAAGCCTCTGGTCAATACTAACTTTCTTAAAACTCCTTCTGAACTAGTTGTTTAGTTTTGGAGTTTGAGGATACAGCATGGGTGGGAACTGACTGCACCAAATCATCCCAACACACATATTTAATTGTCTCACATTTCCTTTTTCTAACTTAAAAACACAAGTTCGTTTTTCTTAAAAAAAATACACACCCCAAAAAGCAAGTACAGAAACAAAGGAATAATTAAAGAGAAAAATTAAAATTAAGTGGAATTTAAAATGCATGTCCTGAAAATGTCTTGGCATGTTCTATGATAAGCTGGATATTGACAATAAAATAAACTGCAGGTGAAGAATTTGCATGTGTACTATTACTGGGACTGGATAGGAAAAATAAAAATTGAGACACTTGAAAAATAGACACTATTGAAGGTGTCAGTAGTGCAACTGGGAGTTCCTTGATTTTTTTGGGTTTGTAAGAAAGTGATCTAAGTATCCTAACTGCCAAGTTGAATTCTGTACAGAAGATGAGGAGTTAATAAAAAGAGCATGTGAACAGGGAAGTGAGAACGCTTACTATTTTCTAGCTCTCCTAATACATTTTATGCAGGTAATTCAAAATCTTAACAAATTGTATGCTAGTAAGTAGGATACAGTTATAATAATTTTAAAAAATTCACTAGAGAAGGACACAGAATTTTTCTCCTGCCAAACAAACTTACATATGAACAGAAGCTGGACTGTCATCCCTCTCGAAGGTTCCTTCACTTCCAATTGTCTCTCTGCGTTTTCCTGCTCTATCTTTGTACTTTGGATTCTTCACTGCTTTGTTGACTTCATACTCTGTGTTCTTGATAAACAGATTAAATTCCATCAAGACAAAGAAAATGGGCTTTAAATTCTTTACTGTTGGTAACTCCACTCCTTCCCTCCAAAAGTAAGGCAGCTTCAGCCTATGTCATGAATTCTAAAACTTGTAACAAAAGCCTATAGTTCTCACTTAGGGAGTTTCTTACTGTACAGCCATACCTTGTGAGGTATGTTACTGCCATCATCACATAATAACGTAATACTGCCAAATTCATTAATGTCACAGAGGCTGTAAATAGATTAACAGATTCTCTTGAATCTTCTTTTGGTATGAAGAATCAATCTCTCCATGTTAAGCAGAAAACGGTACGGACATGGCATTGGCTTTCCGTTTAAACATTTAGTCTCTTCTGCAGCAACTTTCCTCAGAATACATGACAGAACTAAGCATGCATATAGATTCTGTATTGATACTATTTTGATAGCTGAAGAATTTACAAGTGCTAGATGTAACCCCATAGTTAAAATAATCTCTAAAACTGACGTAACTTGAATACTTATTGCCTGTACATTCTTGTTGGCCACCTTCTATGGCAGAGGACTAAAGTAAAAACTTTAAAAATGTCTGTTTTCCTTCCATCATTTTTCCAGTTGCTCATTATTTTTGCTTTCCAAATAAAAGACAGCATTGCAACTTAATGCAAACTTAATTTGCATAAACAAAATTAGAAGTATCTTAAAAAAATCTTAACCTCAAAAAGATAGGGAATCTTTCACACATTGGAATGGATCTTTTCCTAATATTTTAACAGAACTTCCATGCCCTGTTACCATCATATCTCTCTGTAGAGCTTTGTAAATAATTATTATTTAGAGTACAAAAGAAAAGCTTGAGATAAACTACCAGGCTCAACTTTGAGTGCATTTGAAAACTTCCCTTATTCACTGAAGTCTATGTCTTAAAACAGAATCACAAAGTAGTTGTAGGCTTCAAATACTTAACCAACTTCTACTGTAAACTCACCTGTAAACCGTATTTTACCCGTATTTGTTTTAATGCTTTTCTTCTGACTAACTCTCTCTCTTCTTTGCTAAGTGCTGGGCAAACTAAAAGGAAGAACACAAGATTGAATTTCTAATTAATAATGTACCAATATTTAGAAACATCGAACAACTCGAGTTTTTGTTCTAACATTATTGCACAGACACACATACCAAGAAAATACATCATCATGTATTGTAGAATTATTCCCAGTTGACAAGAAAATTGTAAAATTGAAAACAAACCCAGAGTAATAATTATGTCTATAAAGTAAAGAACTTAATAGAAAACACATCCCATAATAACATGACTAACCAGAAGGTTCAGTTTTCTTGTCCAGGCGAAGATGTGCTCTGACTTGTCCTGGTTCACATCCATCACAAGTATCACTGCCAGGATGTATGTGAAAAGAAAGCACAGTTTCACCGATTTTCACTTCATCTCCATGCTCCAAGATGTAGGGATCACATTTTGTTTTAGGCTACAGCAAAAGAAAGTTTTGGCAACCATGTTAATCAGTTACTAATGATGGGCACAAACTCTGTTTCACGAATATTGCTCATAATATAGTAATTCAGTTTAGTCTCACAAATGCAGGCAAGTATTTAACTACAGTAGGTATTTCACTCTAGCAACTGCAGTGAATTTTTCCTAATATAAATCAGACATTTAGTATTGTGTGCCCATAAAAACAAGGGAACCAAAAAAGAGATTAATGTATGCAAGAAGCTATACAATGAGGTTGTTAGTGATCTGCTATGACATATTTAATAAGGCCCCATGCCTACAGTTTTCTGCAACATATACAGCATTACAACAACAGGGACTCACCTGGAGAATCTGATTTCCATTAACAACTGTTCCATTCTGACTGCCTTGATCCACAAGAACGTAATTTTGCAAATCGTGGTCAAAATATACTTCTGCATGGAACTGACAAACAGAAGCCTAAGTGAAATGTTCTTATTAACCAAATACTTCACAATATATATGTTATTTTAAAGTAAGATTTCAGGTTGAATAACTAAGAAATTCAAGATTCAAAGTATAATTTTTTTACAGAGCATTATGCTGTGGATTTGTGAAACTCCCGATTTTAAAAAATACTTTTCTAGATTTGATATCGCACTGCTGTTTGTGTTCACTTCCTATTCAGTAAAATACTGTATGTTTTCTTTTTTCTAACTTCAAATGTGGCTAAACCCACAACTCATTCTAAAAGTTCTTAAAAAAATTAACATAAAATTTTGCAATATTTAAAGTCATAAAAATCTAAAGCTTATTCCTGCAGTGATCTACTTTTCAGCAGACAGAAACAAGAATTACCTTACTGACTCCAACTTCAGGAATCTGAAGTGTGTGTCCAACGTCTTTTTCTCTGGAAAGGCAAGTTGATACCCAAGTCACAAAAAAGCTTAGAAAAGATCTGTTTCAGTTGCAACTGAATACCATGTTTCTCTTCTGAACTATTGGGGAGCTTTCCAGATATAAAACACTGTGTTGCAATATACACAATGTAAAGATGACCTTCAAATCCATTCTTCCATCTAGAATCTATACATGGTAGGCAATGAATATATGAAAAAGCTGTATCTTTAAATTCTTATCTATAAACATGACATTTCTATTGGATTTTTTGTACTCATAAGGCCTGTAAATAATTGTCTGAATTCCACTTTCTCCAAGTTCATCTTGGCATCAGTCTTCAATTCTGAAATTGCATTCTTGGTAGCGTTAGGTAGGTAATATAGAATCATAGAATCGTCTAGGTTGGAAGAGACCCTTGGGATCA